GTGAGGGTAATAAGCATGATGATGTTGATGATTTATGTTCTTGGTGAGGGTAATAAGCATGATGATAATGATGAGTTATGTTCTTGGTGGGTGAATATGATGCATGATGATAGTTGATACAGTACATGATGATTGGTGGGTTACTATGATAGTGATGAAAATAGTGTATAATGCATAGTGATGATGAACATGTGTATGGTGATGTTACATGTGTTTGATGGTGATGAAAGTGATGATGCATGATGCTTATGGTTGATACATGACAATAATTGGTAGTTATGACAATAGTGTTGATGCATGGTGATGGTGATTATGCAACTAAATGATACAAAATTAGGAAAGTGGAGATGGTGCTGGTGGTGAGCATATAACTATTAATATTGATGGTAGTGTGTTTTTTTTGCATTTTAGGTTGAGCAAATGCTTGTTCATAGGAAGAAAATGGTATGCCAACACTTAATAATTCACAAATTCCTTATGAATTTAACTAATATTTTTTCTATAAATTATTTTCTACATTTTTTTGCTTCTCAATGTTGAAAAAATGTTTTCAGTCACCTTTTCAACAAAGACATTCCCATTTGTTTCAGGAACTACTAGATAAGTATGCCAGTGAAGCCCTGATCCAGCAGAGTCAAGAAGCAAAAGCATTACTAGGAATTTGATTGACAGAATCTTTTAAACCTGGGTTTCAACAAGACAGGATATGCAATGGACTGCCTTACTGTAAAAGGAGGAGTGAGTAAACCTAACTCCGTCTTCACTTCACCATCTTATCATAACCCACTGCATTGAGAGGCAGGAAAAATAAACAATCCTTCTTCCTCCTGTACCTATCTCTCGTGGTTAATGGAAAGTGACTTACCAACAACAGTTATTCTTCTGATATTACAGTGTTATACAATATGTAAATACTGTACATACGTAGTATAGTTTTCGTATCAATCAACTTGAAGCAAAGTTAACATTATAACAGCATTTTCCACAAATAATCTAATGATTGTGCCACATGGGATTGAAATGTAGACAAGCCAAGCTTAGTACACATGCTAATTTGTAATGCAACACTGTTTTATTGTCTTGTTTTCAATTCATAGGAAAAATAACTTTGGTTTTACAAATAATATTAGAGACCTTTAGCATCAGGCTTACCCCTAACCGCTAGGAATCAGGCCCAAAAACGCTCTGCAAACACCGAGAAACAGTCTTATCATCAATGAAATTCAATATGGCTGCTCTTCCAGCAACAATTCGTTATAAAGTCTAGCTAAATGTAAAAGTTTGATGGAAAATGCCTGACCTTGAACTCCAGTTCATGCTTTGCATTACTTAGCAAGAACGCCATGCTAAAGGTTTCTATTAATAAATCTTCTTTTCCTTGTAACCTGAGCCTTTTTTTAAAAAGTTAGTAATAGTAGTAAAAAAGTATGTAATAGAATGCAAACGTTATACCTGCCAAACAGTACTATACAATTAGCAGCACTAATTCCTAGTAAACACTAAATGATGAAACAATAAGTACCAAAATACGTTCTTCCACCATATTGCATTATTAAGTGTGAACTATATTTAGTACTGTTTTCTAGGGTAAGTGTGAGCACTCTCTGGCACTTTCCATTAAGTCAAACTGATCTCAATCGGTACATGGCAGTTCTCAGAACTGGATCAGTGCGGCCTGAAGTAATGCTATAAACTAATACAAACCATTTAAGAACTGGCCACTCAAACTGATTGGTTCAACTTAATGGAAAGCACCCTTAGCCTCTATAGAACAAAATTTACCAAACAAAAGTCACCTGATGAAAAGTTGGTTTATTTATTACTGAGTATGTAGTGTAAATACCTATGGAATAAATTTATATATTTTGGAGACCATTTTTTTATGTTTACAGTACAGGGCACACTGAGGGGTATAACAACCCCATTATGTAACACCTTTTTAGGTGGAAGGGAGGATAAGTTGCAAGGGAAGGGAGGATGTGGAGCAGTGGAAGTGAGAATGGGTTGCAGGGGAAGGGAGGACGTGAAGCAGGAGAAGGAAGGTTGGATTGCACGGGAAGGGAGGATGGGTTGCAGGGGAAGTAAGGATATGCAGCAGTGGAAGTGTGGATGGGTTGCAGGGGAAGGGAGGATGCAGAGCAGTGGAAGTGAGGATGGGTTGCAGGGGAAG